TCCTGTGGGAGCACACTGGCCACTAATGAGCAGCTCCTGCATTGAGTGTTTGCCCCCTAGTGGTCAGTGCATGTCATAGCAACTGGTCATTCCACTATTCAGTCAATTTGCATATTAACCTTTTATTACATAGGATCAGTAAAATAAATACTTTATCATTTTTCCCTCCATTTTTATTTTTAACTTTTTTTTTTTTTTTTAAAGTCCACAGATGCACTTTTGGTGGCAATCGACTCTGAAGTAGTGGGAGCTGTTGATATACTTCTTAATCATCGACCAAAACGATCATCAAGACCAACTATAGTAGTTAGTACTCTTAAATGTTTATTAATTTGGATTTTTTAATCAAAATAAATCTCCTACCCCCATTGCCATATTTTTCTTCCCCCAAATTTATTTGTCTTAGGGAAATAGATCTCTTTTGCTCTGTAAAATATTGCTTTAAAGTAAGTAGACACTTGCAAGAATAATATTGTTTTCAGGAAAGTTTTAAAAAATTAATGATATTTCTATAATTTTGTCAGTATGGATCAGTATTTTAGTTTGGAACATTCTGCGGGTTAGGCTGAAGATACAAATTAGTCTCCACATGAATTTAATAATTAAATGTAAACAGTGAAACCATAAAACTAGAAGAAAATGTAGATGAATGTTTACTGACTGGGCGTAGAAGGATGTTCTAAGCATAAAATCAATGGCTGTTTAGAAGTTAAATTTCTGGAATTCAGTCATCAAGCAAAATTTAAATAAAAAGCAGGAGAATAACTGGCAAAAAGATATTTGCAGCATATATCACAAGTTATAATCTTAATATAGACAAATTGATGAAAAACACCAAAATCAGAATGGACAAGAAAAAATCCTCAGAAAAGAAAATATAAAATTCTAAACTTTACTTATAATCAAATACAAGATACTATTATTTGCTTATCAAATTAGCCAACATTTTAAAAAATAATAATCACTAATACAAAGGAGTAGTCTAGTCTCCTACACCATTGTTTAGAGGGGTTTTTGAATAGCACTTTGGCAAGATGTGTCAGAAAAAGGGAAGATGTTCATATTCTTTTACCTAGTGCTTTTTCTTGTAGGCATTAGCCTATGAAATGTAGATAAAAATGTTAATTGTAATCTTATAGTAGTGAAAAAAACCTAAATATTTTAGAATAGAAAGTTGGAAATATAAATAATTATTATATATTTAAATGGCACTTTTAAAAGAATATTTAGGAAGATGGAAAAATAAAATCTAGGAAGTGACAAAAATGAGAATAGTAAACTGTATATGTAATATGATCCAAGGTTAAAAATATGCATAGAAAAGGAACTGTATGGAAATGTGGCAAAATGTTACCTAGTGGTAGCCATCTTATTGCCAAATTAAGGATTTTTTTTTTTTTTTTTTTTTTTTACTATTTTTCTTTATTGCTTTTGTAATTAGGAAGATATTCATTAATAGTCAGATAAATTGTGCCTTTAAAATGGGATATTTATTGGTTGTATATAAAAAATTTAAAATTATATTGGTGAAGATGTAATGAAACAAGCAAACTGCTGGAGTGTAAACTGGCTATACTAAGTAGAAAAGTATTGTTTAAGAAACAATTATAAATTGCTTATAGATTATTTGACATTATTTGAGAACAATGAGAAACTGCTAAAATTGCATACTTTAACATGTATTAACTGAAATCTAGACTATTATAAAGTTTGTGTGTGACTTTTTCCAGAGGATGGTGTGAACTACTGTAACTGGTGGTAAGAAACCACAGGAATAGAGAGGGGGAAAAAGGGCTAAGAATGTAGCTTTTGTCCAAGGATCAGAAATATCTATAATCCTGTTTAATTTTCTGTCATCCATCCTGTAGTTACTCTTACATTTTGCTATACCTGTTCCACTTTCTAGCATTTAAACCCATTTACTATTTTGAGGGGAAAGGGTGTTATTGGAGCAAATGACTGATATTATTTCATTACCATTACTACTATCAATTGAATCTTGTGTTCCAAGGCTGTGGTAGTCTTCACCTGCTCAGTAGAAGAACACTTTCTACTTTATTACTAACAAATAAGTGTTTGTTTGAATTCTTCCAGCGACAGCAAGATCAAATTTTAATAGCATATTACTTCTAGACAGGCAATGTCAAATATTTTACATATATTTTTTAACCATTTCAGTGAATTCATTCTGTATTATTGGCTTATAAAAATTGTATTTTAATACATTTTGACTTTCATATTCAGAGATTTTTTTTTAGCATGTAGATTGTATTATCAATAATGAAATTAAGAACTTATATCTATGTCTTTGAGTTTTCATATAGTTAAATGTTTCATAGGAAAAATGAGGACCATTTTTCTCTTAAAGGACTGAATATAAACTTCTTTTTTTTAATATATATTTTATTGATTTTTTACAGTGTGGAAGAGAGAAGGATAGAGAGTAAGAAACATTGATGAGAGAGAATCATTCATCAGTTACCTCTTGCACACCTCCCACTGGGGATGCACCCGCAACCAAGGTACATGCCCTTGACCGGAATCGAATCTGGGACCCTTCAATTCCCAGGCCAACACTCTATCCACTGAGCCAAACCGGTATCGGCAATATAAACTTTTTAAAATAATATGTTTTTAATTGATTTTTAGAGAGGAAGAGTAGCCAAGCTAATTTTATCCTTTTTATAGCCAATAATAAGAGGGAAAAGGGATACGTTCTTAGATTTCTCTGGAATTTTAAATAAATTTATTAATTTGAAATCCCCACTAAATAAATGCCAAGTATATAAACAAACTATTCTTAAAAGAGGGCCAAAATGGGATATATATGTTAAAAAACATTAAAATTTACCAGTAATCAAAGGAAAGTAAATATTTCATGATAGTATTTTTTATTCATAAACTGAGAGTGATCATACTGGTAAGTAAAACTTAAGAGTGAGAAGGGTACATTTCTATATTATTGGTAACATAAGCTATTAAAGGACTGTGGTAATATATTTATCAAGAACTACAAAACTGTTTGTGGTCTTTTGATCTATAATTCCATTTTAGGGGATTCTATGTTAATGAGATAATCCTAAATTAAAAAAAAAAAAACTGTATTAATCCAGGTGGCATGGTTAGGTGGTTGAATATCAATCAGGAGGTCACAGTTTGATTCCAGGTCAGGGCCCGGGTTGCAGGCTAGAACTCCAGTGTGTGGTGTGCGGGAAGCAACTGATCAATGATTCTCTCTCATCATTGTGTTTCTATCTCTCTTCCCTTCTTCTTTCCTCTATGAAATCAATAAAAAAGTATATATATATATATATAAATAAAAAGCTGTATTCATAAAAAAGTTTGTGATAATATTTTTAAACTAGCATAATAAAATGTCTTGAAAATATGGTCTATAAAATTCCTTACATTACATGCAAGATTCTGTACATGATTTTTTGGGGAAGATTCTGGGCTGTAGCTTTATGTGATTATTAAAAGTATCATTGATATTCAAAACATTAGGGACCATTGTTTTAATTATTTAGTGCCAAATTATTTATGCCAAAGATAGAGAAAGGCCCAGAAAGGAATACTATAAAATGGTTTTTTAGGAATGATGGGTATTTGTATTATTTCTGTTTTTCTATATTTTCCAAATATTTTATAATGTATGTGCACTACTTTTACAATGTTAGTAAAAATTATATAACAAACCATGAACTTGATCAGCTAACAACTCTCAGGGAAACCTCTGTGAAAAAGTGAGTAGTGGAAAGAATATGCAATAGTCATGAAACAGTCAACTTTTTTATTTAACACTTATTCTTTTTTTTAAATGTATTTTTATTGATTTTAGAGAGGAAGGAAGAGGGAGAGGGAGATAGAAACATCAATGATTAGAGAGAATCATTGATCTGCTGCCTCTTGCACACTGCCTACTGGGGATCCAGCTCCAAAACTGGGCATTTACCCTTGACCAGAATCGAACTTGGGACCCTTCAGTCTACAGGCTGCTGCTCTATCCTCTGAGCAAAACCTGCTAGGGCAACCCTGATTCTTTATTTGCTAATGATTTTTGCTTCATGTCATGTCATCATCAGCCCCATGAGCCCATGTAGTGAAGGTGCTCAGGCTCCGGAATAATATAAATCTGGTTTCTGCTTTGCAGTTTGCCATTCTATTGTGTACCTCAGGCACATTAACTTCTCTGAGTCTCAGTTTCTTCTTGAGATAATTCTGCTCATTCCTGCAGGGTACTGTGGGAATTAAATGAAATGATAAGTGTAAAGTGGCTATATTAGCTATGATAGTATTTTTGTGTATTTGTAACAGACATAATAGAGGTAATGATTGAAAATATATAGATATTTATCTATAATAATAAAAACATAATATGCTAATTATACCAGACAGCTGAGCAACCTTCTGGATGTCCTTCCAGATGCCCTTCCGGATGAAACTGGGGCTGGGAGGGCTGAGCCCCTTGCACGAATTTTGTGCATTGGGCCTCTAGTACAAAATAAAGAGCACTTTCTATTTACGTATCCCTTTTAAGTACCTTCATTGCTATCTGTGTGACAAAGTTTGCCACAGAGGCGGAATTTTTAAAGTTTTTCTCAACTTTATGCTCTGCTTATTTTTAACATTTCTGTTTTTTCATTTTATTTCTTTTCTAAAATTCCTGTTCTTTCCCCTTATGCCTGTTTTCATAATCTTTTGAAAATTAAATACTTTTCCCTAATGTATTTCTCTAGATATCCTTTTTTTTGTTAGTAAAGCAGAATGTTATTTATATGAATATTTTCTATTGAAGATTTTATTTGTCATTATTATATTATATTTATTAATTAAAATTAAGTTTTGAAGTTTCAAAAAATTTTTTATCCTGGCAAAATGTTTATCTTATTCATTAAAATAATTATGTTCTTTGTGCTTTCCATTTTTTCATTTTATTCTTCAAACAATTATATTTTTTAATTCACAAATAACTTTTGAACATTTATATAAATATTTTTCAGAAACTAATGGAGCAGATTCAGAATCCTGAGTATTCAACAACTATGGACATTGCACCTGTCATTTTAGCTGCTCATCATAACAACTATGAAATTCTTACAATGCTGTTAAAACAGGATGTGTCTCTACCTAAGCCCCATGCAGTTGGCTGTGAATGCACATTGTGTTCTGCAAAAAACAAAAAGGACAGCCTCCGACATTCCAGGTTAGAAAATGAAGATTTTTGACAAATAGATGTGTGATGCAGTGGGATGCATGCCAATGAAATGTTTTATTGTTCTTTTTATGTAGCTTTTAAGAAATATGGTACTGGGATGACTTGTAAAAGCCAAACTTCTAGCTCCTTTGCTTAATACAATAAGTTCTGCATGTTTTAGAAATGTTTACTAAATAATGAATAATTAGGAAACTTCTTCAAATTATGAATAAGATTTATTTCATACTCATGCCTATGGGGTTGGAGGCAGTGTTTACTTTTTAGAAATAGAATTTATTGGTCTAAGAGAATTTCCAAGTAGTAGAAGGATATCCTTTTATAAGAAAAACTAGACTGGTGCACAAAATTCATATGGGGGTGGGAGGGGGGGGTTAATGGTTCCCTCAGCCCACCCTGCACCCTCTCCAATCTGGAACCCCTCAGGGATGTCTGACTGCCAATTTAGGCCAGATCCTTTTCACAATTCAGGATTGCTGGCTCCTAACTGCTCACCTGCCTGCCTGCCTGATTGCCTCTAACTCTCCCCCTGCCAGCCTGATCATCCCTAACCACCTCTGCATGCTAACCTGATTGCCCCTAACTGCCCTGCCCCCCCCCCCCCCACCGGCCTGGACATTTCCAACTGCCCCCCACCCCCACTGGCCTGGTTGCTCCCAATTGCCCCCCCCCCCACTGCCTGGTCTCTCCTAACTGCCCCCAACTGTCCTGGTCACCTCCAACTGCCACCACCCCCCTCTCTTCCCCCCGCTGCCAGCCTGGTCTCCCCAACCAGCCTGCTGTTCAGTTGTTTGGTCATCCCTCACTAACCCTTCTGCCAGCATTATTGCCCCACACAGCCTGAGTTTGGTTTTCCATCTGGTTGTATCAGTTGTGATGGCCCCTGGCCTTTATATATTAGGATTATTTACTATCTGACTAAATATTAACCTGTAATGCCTCTTACTTCCCTCTCACATAGTACATATTTAAGTCTATTTCTCTTCTGATTCTCCCCAGTTGAAAAGAAAAACAACTGAGGAATGAATAAATAAGAAAGTACCCCATCCTGGATAAGTTGAATAAGGTCACACATATTGAATAAGTTATATGGTTCTGAACCAGACTTGAGAGTCTAGTTTTCAGTATAAGCGCATGCACATTTACTATGAAATAGATGGTTTTGAAGTCCCAGGCAGACCACTGACAAACTGTTTTCAATTAAGGATTATTGTACAGTGTATATGAAATTAGCTTTAAAACTGTAAAATATCCACCGTCTCTGTTTCCTCATCATAAGAACAAATCTTTGGTGCATTGACAGTAAAAAATCCATAAATTGGGAAAGTCTCCTGGAAATCAATTTAATGTGTATGTGTAGAGGTCAAACTGGAACATTTTTTTCTGTTTTCAAATCTATTTTACAATAAGGCCTATGTTTCTCTTTGATAAAATCTGGTTGACAGTTGACTATATTATTAACTTTTTTAGTTTTAAAATGACTAATCTGTGAAATGACAAGAAGAAATTATCCTTAAGGGTACTTCTAGTTTTAAAATTCTTTCTTAATATTAACTATAAATATTTTCCAAATAGTTTGATTGTTAAATGTTTGTAGTTGGAGCTGATTGGGTGGTGGGTTGGGACTGGAAAGAACGCTGCCTGGCTTGGTTTGGAGTGGCAAGAACAATGCCTGGCTTTTTCTGAAAGTTTGTATAGAAACTATAGCTTGAGTGCAGGTTTTAAGCCTGAATAAGAATTAAAAGATAAAAGGCATTTGATGCAGAAAGTACAGTTTGTAACTGTAGTTTATTAAGAGAACTGCAAGTGGTTTGATATATTTGCAGAAGAGTTTGAGAAAACAGTTATAGGAAAGGTCCGAACTGAAGTCATTTTCAGGAATTGTTAAGAAGACCTGCAGAAGAAAAGGAGACTAACAAAACAAGTGAAAAGAGATGTAGGGTCAGTGAAGTTGAAGAGTTAATGTTAGAATTAAGGAAGTGAGGCAATCTGTATTTTTAAATTTTAGAGATGGTGAAATTTCAGACGAGGATAAGGTCTAGGGGCAATAATTATAAATGGGTTATGGAAGCTTGGTGGATCATTGAGTTTAGAAAACCATTTCAGTATATAATTCTGTGATTTGGTTTTAGACTCAAAATTTCAAATAACATTAAGGGATATTTAGAGTCTATTACTTAAAGAAAGGCAATTTCAACAAGTTGAGAAACATTGAAATTGAGAGAGGTAGCAAAGTAATGGACTGCCAATTATATTTAATATGCAGAAGAGTTTTGTTTAATCTGTACAAAGTATTTTATAATTTTGTTCTTTTTAAAAAAAAATCTTTATTGTTCAGATTATTACAAATGTTCCTCTCTTCCCCTCAATTGCTCCCCTCCACAAGGTTCCCACCCCACCTTCTGCCCTTTCCCCATCCCCCATTGTCCTCATCCATAGGTGCACAGTTTTTGTTCAGTCTCTTCCCGCACCCCCCACTCTCCTTTTCCCTGAGAATCATCAGTTCAGTCCCCTTCCATACCTCTGATTCTATTATATTCACCAGTTAATATTGTTCATCAGATTTTTTAATTCCCTTGGTTTTTAGATTCATTTGTTGATAGTTACATATTTGTTGTTCATAATTTTTACCTTTATCTTCTTTCCTCTTCCTAAAGAACCCCCTTCAGCAATTCATATAATTCTGGTTTGGTGGTGATGAACTCCTTTAGCTTTTTTTTTTTTTATTAGTGAAGCTCTTTATCTAGACTTCGATTCTGAGTGATAGCTTTGCTGAGTAGAGTATTTTTGGCCGTAGGTTCTTGCTATTCATCACCTTGAATATTTCTTGCCATTCCCGTCTGGCCTGCATGGTTTCTGTTGAGAAATCAGCTGACAATCGTATGGGTGCTTCTTTATGGGTAACTACCTGCTTTTCTATTGCTGCTTTTAATATTCTCTCTTTGTCTTTTGCTCTTGGCATTTTAATTATGATGTGTCTTGGTGTGGTCTTCTTTGGATCCCTTTTGTTTGGGGTTCTGTGCACTTCCTGGACTTGTAAGTTTATTTCTTTCATCAGGTGGGGAAAGTTTTCTGTCACTATTTTTTCCAATATGTTTTTGGAACCTTGCTCTCTCTCTTCTTCTGGGATGCCCATAATTCTGATGTTGGTTCGCTTGAAGTTGTCCCAGAGGTTTCTTACATTATCTTTAACTTTCTGGATTCTCTTATCTTCTTGCTTCTGTGGAGGAGTGTTCTCTGGCTCTTTGTGTTCCAAATTTTTTTTTGATTCTTGCGATCTTCCATTCTGTTTTTAGGACTCTGTATTATACTTTTTATTTTAGACAATGTATTCTTTATTTCTAGTTTATCCCTTTTCATATACTCATAGGTCTCATTTATTTTATCGGCCTTTTCTAGGAAGTTTTTGAAAAACCTTATAACTATGGTTTTGAACTCTATATCCAGTCGCTTCTTGTCCTCCATTTCTTTTGTTTGTGATCTGTTTCCTTGTCTTGGCATTTTAACTGCTTCCTGAGTTGATAGGGTGGCTTTGTGTGCTAAGGTGTCCTATATGGTTCAGTGGGTCAGCCTCCTAGTTATCTGAGGTGGACAGTCTTGGTGTAGCCCTTTGTGGGCTGTGTGTGCAGTCTTGTTGTTAATCCTTGCTTGTTGTTGGTATCACTGGGAAGCGTTGATCTCCAAGCCAATTGGCTATGAGGATCAGAAGTGTCTCAGCTAGGAGGGTTTCTGTATTCTGCTTGGATGGGGCAGAGTCTTGGGTTGGCACAGACAAGCTATGGTGAATCCCGCAAGATTGGTTGCAGGCGTGCACACCTCTTTGGTATAGATGCAGACAAGCTTTGGATTCCTGTCTGTCCCTCCCTGGGAGAGTGCTATTTGCAGTGAATGAGAAAGCTAGCCACTGGAAGGGCTTCTGTGCTCCGCTTGGATGGGGCAGAGTCCCATGGTGGAGCAGACAAGCTTTGGTCAGCCCCTCCCTAGGAGGGTCTGGTTTCTGAGTCCCGCAGTAATGGCCGCTGGCTTAACACACCTCTGAGAGATCTCTGCTCAATGCCTGACAGTTTGGCCTCTCCCTGTCAAGGGCCATCTATCAGAGCAATAGGGTGGTTCTGTTTTTCTCCCGAACAAGAAAGCTAGCCGTGCATTAGCTGTCAGCCCTCTCCGTGCACAGGGAGTAAGCCATCAGCGAAATCGGCCCTCTCCACGTTCCGCAAGCAAGCCAGCAGCGAAATCGGGCAGCCACCTTTCACAGTTTCTGAGGTTCAGTGCGCCTTCTCTCTCATTCCCAGATGGTAGAGCCTCCTCTCACTCAGCCGTCCAGTGCTTCAGGGTGATATTTCCCCTGTTTTCCAGTTCTAAATTTAAAATTGTTGTGGTAGGCTGCATTCAGGTGTCTACCCTATGCCACCATCTTGGTTTCTCGCAGTATTTTATAATTTTGAATTTGAATGTCTGTAAGCCTTATGTACACTGTTTTATTCATATTATTACCCACTATTCCCTGAAAACAATTGAATTTGTAAAATCTAGTAAATATCTCCCAAAAGAATAGGATGTTGACATTGAGAAAATCAGTGATCTCTATATATAATACTAGAGTAATCTTAGGACTATGGAATTCTTTTATAAAAAAGCACATGTTTTAGTTATGAAAGTAATGTGTGAATAAATCCTTATAAAACTCCTAACTTTAATTTTGGTCAGAAGTCTCCTGACCAACTTTAATTTTCCACTCCTCTACAGAGCTAACAACTACTATCAGTTTAAGGTTCTACATCTATGTTTTAATGACTAATATTCTCATTAGTTAGAAATGTGACTCCTCAGTCCAAACAGCCTGGTATTGGCATAAAAACAGACATACTAGTAAAAACCAATGAAGCAGTATAGACACCCCAGAAATAAACCCACACTATAAGTCAATTAACCTATGAAAAATGAGGAAAGAACATACAATGGAGTAAATATACTCTATACAGAGAACGAAG